TAGCCCTGCTGCTATTTAAAATGCTAAGGAATAGCTTCTAGCATCACATCTGAACGCCAGCCACCACAATACGCCAGGCCGACATAAGGGTGGTAGAGCCAGAACGCCTAGATCCAGAGGATTCCACCTCTTCCAGCTCAGGACTCCTCATTCCACACCCTCAGTTTTGTTCACCACAAAGATGTGTTATTGCTAAAACATTGTCTGCCTCATCCCCACCTGCCACTCATCTCCAAAGAACTCAGAACCTACATCTTTGAACTGAACCAAGTCCAGTTCTCCAAGCTCAGCCACACAGCAGTACGCAGCCTCCACCTGGAGAAACAGCTGGGACAAACACATCTCCTCGCTTCGAAATACAGACGCCATCTTGGCCCAGCCTTAGTCTGTGGGTGACAAAGAGAAAGGGGTAAGGTCATAACTGTGTAGAAACCGTAGGATTAAATTAATTCTTTTTAATCTGAGTTCAATTAAAACCCAATAAGAATTACCCCTGCTTTAGAAAATAAACAAAAATTAGATAGTTTTCCTCACCATCTATCGGGTTGACAAAAGATTTTTTTAAAATATGATTAAAGGCAGCTATTCTGAAGCTGGATGAAGAAACAGGCATTTTCATATACCAGTATACATTTGTATATTTTTTTAGGCAAGTAATTTGTCAATTATCTTTCAAATTTTCTTTTTCTCGTGTTCTTGAATCAAGACTCCTGCCACCATATCAGATGAACCTGGATATGCATGGAGAAATAGATGCACAAACATGTTTCTTATAACGAGTTGTTGTTGTTGTTAAGTGCTGTCGAGTTGGTTCTGACTCATAGCGGCCCTGTATAGGGTTTCTGAGGAGTGGCGGGTGACCCTGAACCATCAACCTTTCTGTTCAAAGCAACTTTGTAGTCCAGTGTATTAACCCAAAGCGCCACTCCAGGACTCCTCTAACATGGTAGGTCGTAATACCAACAACCCTAAGAGAGTTCTGCATCAATATAATCAAACCAGGTGCCGCTGCGTCCCGCACATGTGCCATAATGGAACTGTGTTGTGTAGGGTGGTCAATGGCTGGTTTTTCAGATGCAGATCACCAGATCTTTCTTCTGAGTGCCTCTGGTTGGACTGGAACCTTAGCAGCTGAGCTCTATCAAATAAAGGAATGATGCAGTAAACCGTGATTCAACATCTCCCCAGCAGGAATGGGATCCATCTACTAATCTTGTATGTGGAAGAAAGGAGCATTGGTGGCACTGTGGATTAGACCTTAATCACAAGGTAGGCAGTTCAAGCCCACCAGCAGGTCCTAGGGAGAAAGATGAGGCTTTCTGCTCCTAGAAAGATTTATAGTCTCAGAAACCTACACAGGATTGCTATGCGTTGACAATGACTCGGTGACAGGGGTTTGCTTTGGGGTATATAGGGAAGAAGAATGTTCATCTAGAGAGAGAAAAAAAACAAGCCCCAAGAATCAGATCTCCCAAAACAATACCAGCAACATTCTTAAGGATCCACACCATCGACACTCATGATAAAGTAACTAAGACATGCATTCACAGATCATAAATAGCCAACGGTTCCAGCAGACGGATGTTCAAAGTTTAACCAGGAGACAGGGAGAAGAGCCGCAAACTCCACCCCCACACACCCAGAACCAAGTCAATGGCAACGAACCACAGCATCTACAGCAAGGCAGAATCCCACCTAGCACACAGTCATCCCATACCAGACCGCCCGCGTGTCTGCTACAACAAGGGAGAAATGGAGATGGACTCCAATGGCTGACTTGAAGAACAGGCAAAACCAAGGGGAGGGTGGTGGCCCCTGACCCCTCCCATCAAAGGTACTCTTAGATGTTCCTACCGCTGCCAAAACAAATGGGTTTCTCCAAAGCCCCACATAACTCCAGAGTGGACCCTTTCCCTCATCTCATTTTGTGACTATGGGGTGTCTCTTCCTCCCCAGGTTAAATCCTTCACATGTTTCAAACTCCAGTCAACAAGGAGCACGTGGTCTGTCTCTCTTCACCCTCCTGTCCGGTCACACCAGCTTCATCACCGCAGGCCCTTGGCCCATGCTTTCTTCTCTCTCACCTTCACTGGGAACCTCAGCCTCTCCCACCCCACCCACCCACATCCTTCCAGTCTCAGGGGTCCTCTTCCTCTGATAACCCTGAGCAGCCCACCTCTCACGCTGTACATTAAGCCCCCTCCTATCAGCTCCACATCCCTGGATGACAAAAATGGTATGCAGTTAGCTGCTAACTTAAAGGTTGGAGGCTTGATCTGTAAAGATACTGTCAAGAAAACCATATGGAGCTCAGTTCTACTCGGAGACACATGAGCTTGCCATGAGTGGGAATCAACTTGACAGCAACACATTGTTGCCCTCAGAATATCTAGCAATCGTTTGCATCACTTGTCCCCACCAGACACAAATTCAGGGGAGAACCCTGTCCTGTTTTCTCTCTGTCACTGTCTAGCTCAATCAGTTACGAATCAGGCTGCAAACCTTAAAGTCAGCAGTTCGAAACCACCAGTGGTTCCACGGAAGAAAGATGAGGCTTTCTGCTCCCGTAAAGATTTATAACCTCGGAAACCCTGTGCAGGGTCGCTATGAGTCGGAACCGACTCCATGACACATAACAACAACAACAACCAAGAAGGTTTCCTATCACACCAGATAAACAACATCCCTGACTCAAAAACTACAGAGTCGGGTCCGATACTTTGTACCAGTCGACACTGAGGTAAATCAAAACTTCATACTGTCTTGATGATAAGTAAGGCAGTGTTTTCAAATAAAAGAAGCATAAGATGTTATCTCAAACTTCTTGCAGACCCAACACTTAGCACAAAGACGCTTCTTACCCTGGTAGGTCCAGAAGGGGTCCAGGTCAAGGTTTGCAGCTCCAGTGGGTTAGGCCCCCACTTCCCTAGCCAAGCAGAAGCAGCCTATGGCTCCAAGTAGCTGGCTAGTGGCCCAGGGTCAGGGTGGGACTGGGCAGGTGCTGGATTCTGAAGTAGTCTCCCACCCCGTGCCCAGAGCCCCTCCTGCCTCCTTCCGCACCCACAACCTCTGTTGAATCAACACAGGCTTGTTGTGGGTGAGGACAAGCCCGTCCCGCCCAAACCCCCACCCACCTGTGTCCACCCCTAACACAAAGTCACTTACTGCCTCGGGAGCTAAGGGTCTGGGAGTGTACGGAGGCCTCAGGGGGACTCGAGACAACATTCCAATGCACCTACTAAGCAAACCAAAACATGATTTCTTCTCATTGTCCAAGAGAAGTTTAAAAATAACTTTGGAAAGAAAAAAAAAAAAGAGAAAAATCCACTACTGTCTCTTCAACAATTTTTTCTACAAATACTCTGTTTGCTTTCAAAGGACTGGATGAAAAAATCCTTGTAAACTTCCAATGGACTTAAAGTCAGCTTCAGATGTGGTCCTGGTAATAAGACTTAAAAAAAAAAAAAGTTGCCATCCAGTTGGTTCTGACCCGTAGAGACCCTAGGATACAGGGCCAACTGTGGCATTTGGTGGCGGTTATATGCTGTAAGGCCCTCTGGTAGTGTAGTGGCTATGAATCGGGCTGCAAACTGCAAGGTCAGCAGTTTGAAACTACCAGCTGTTCCGTGGGAGAAAGATGAGACTTTCTGCTCCTGTAA